AGAAGAATCAAAACTTGTCTAATAGATATTGTTTTGTGTTAAGTCATTACTTGTCATATTGTAGAGAACGAGAACACAATTGGGGACAATCGAATGTAGCTGAACATGAAATTACAGAACGTCTTAGTAAAATCTGTGAACCCTTCAGTAAATACTTAGTTTGCAAAATGTCAGTCAATCGTCTCAGACTTCGTTATTCGTTCATTCCATACTAATTGCTTCCTGTTGCCGTTCTTTCCCTCTTCGATTTTCTCGACCTTCTGTTGCCAGACATTCTATTCTTGACTAGCGTTCTATACTACTTATGTCGATATAAGTAGCACACACCACAATATAATGAACGAACAGATTATTTTATTTAAAAAAAGGTTATTTATCTATAATTTATGTGGTAAAAACGCTAAATAAGTGATTTTATGCTTTATCTTCACATATTCAAGTCCATACATTCTCTTACTAAAATCAAATATCAGAGTCCCTTTTATTTCATGCAATGTTAGATTCAAGAAATATTCTCAATCATCACATCAGCTATTTCTTATAACCTAATGGGATTATCTTAAAGGATATTATTCTGTTGTCAAAGGGTTATTTTAGCTTTATCTGTAAACATATAGACATTTATATTCGACATTATCCAAACATCTATTTTCCTTGAGAAAGCTTTGACCAGATTTCCAAACGAAACGTTGGATTTACTTCAAATTTTTTCGCTGAGATTATACAAATACATTCTTCCTCTTTAATCTAGACACTTGGTTTATGAATGAATGTTTATAACAAACTTATGAATGAATCATTAAGAAAATGGCAAAGTACTAACGTCATGGTTAAAAAAACTATGAATATTAATGAATATATGTGTATGTATATGTTAACATGCACGATTCATTTAAATATAAGCACTACGTTGTATTGGAAACATTTAAAAGATAAAGATGAACTTGGTTAGTACAAGTCATTGAAATTTCAAGCTATATTAAGTAGTGTTTAACAAATTTTCTGATGTAAATTAAAATTCATCTTTTAATAGAAAAAAATCTCTTACACTCATTACTGTATAAAGGCAGTTGAATTCTTTCGAAATGTACAGAGCGTTATAGAATATGAAACATAAATTATATGTGAAATAAACAGATCTACATCTTAAGTGATCAACTGTTATCTGACCTGAGAAAGAGAGTATAATAGAAATTGATCATTACAACGTATCAGTTGATGAGTAGTTTATTTCAATTACAATGTCTTAGAATTGTTTCAGTAGAATGTTTTCAAAAAATATGTATTTTGTAGACGGATCCAGTCTACTTTTACCTTGAATATTATGTAGGTACATTTAAGCTATGTCCTTAAATTGTTACTGACTACTCATGGTAAAATATATAACAATTTTTCCTACCTTATAGTCATAATGTTAATGATTATAGATTTATGATCACTTCAGAATTTTCTTTGATCTAATGTATGAGTTAACTGATAGGTGTAACCTAGTGATATGTTTACATTATTTCCTAACGACAAGTTTGAATTTCTTATGGAAACTTGAAAGATGTGTTTCAGACTAGTTTTATAAATATTCTATCAATTTCAATATCATAAGTAATAAAATTAAGGATTTAAGAGTTAAAATAAAAGCATCTTAATAGCTATAATATATATGTAGATTACTTCAAACACATGTTTCATCATTCGCAATGAATATCTAGAATTATAATTAAGGGTTCACAGCATAATGTGATTTAAACGTAACTCTAATTTATACATTGGCATTATGAGTCCAGAGTAATATACATCCTGATTAAACATGACATCATGTTTTTGATATATGAAGAGTTTATTAACCTGTCTTACTTTTACTTTATGAAAACCTATCTTGAATAAAGCATTATGATGAATAAATCCATTTGGTGGCAAAACAGTCTTAAGTTTTGTTAAAACTGATTAGTTCATAGAAACAATAGTTCATTAAAGAGGAAGAATGTATTTATCAAATCTGGGCGAATTGATTCGAATATGAACAAAATACGATTTTTGGCCTCTGAAATTGTTCCGTTAATCAAACCTATCTTAAATGATGTTCTGGATAATCAAGCAAATTCAGAGGGGTTTAAAATCTCAGCTGTATTGCTGAATCAAAAATTGAATGCTCCTAATCTATCTAAAGAAGAACTGTATGCTCTAAAACAGCTCTATAAAGACAGAAAAATTGTTATTATGAAAGCAGACAAGGGAAACACTATTGTTGTTATAAATAATTCTGGTTATGAAAGAAAAGTCAATGAACATCGCCACAATGGACCTCGTGAAAAAATCATGAATAACAAATGTAGAGCCACTTTAAATAAGTTGAAAACCGAAACGGCCAAAATGCTACAGAAGTTAAAATCTAAACTAGGACCATCTCTATGGTTTTCTAAAGGATTTATTTCAAATTCATTCCCTGAGATTTTACAAATACATTCTTCCTCTTTAATGTCTCACACCAACTCGGCGCCTAAATACTGTGAAACTATTCCATCAAATTTCGATGAAAGTTCTCATTTAAACAATAGTTCAATTAAATTAATATACACATAATTGAAACGTAAAGTAAAATAGAGGGGAAGAATGTATTTGTAAAGTACAATATTTAAAAAAACGAACTAATCTTATAATACATAAATCATTAGAACAAGTAAGGGTTTAGAGAATTAAAACATTGGTTAGAGAGCTATGTAACCTTCCAAACTTATGCATCGGTTTCTTAGAAAGAAATTTAAAGTTACAAAAAGGTTTTATGCTGAATATATATACCATGGAAATAGACATGAGAAAAATGAGCAAGAATTGGATGGAACTAGAAAAGAAGGCCCAGAGTGGATTGGAGAATGCTGATCGGCCGCCTATGCTCCATTAGGAGTAACGAGCGTAAGTAAGTAAGTAATATATACCATTGCTTCTAAATTGTTGTTGTACTTCCATGATGTGGTCTACAAAATATTGATTCTGAACGACAACCAGTTCTATGTATGCATCGATTTGCTCTCTAGTCATCCGCGTATATTGTAGTATCCAGCTGTACACGCTATCGTACGATTGCTATTATTGTTGTAGATATTCTGTTTCTCACGTGCTGGAAGTGTCCCATTTGAGATAATCATATATACCAAGGATCTGCTAAGTTTATTTAAGGAAGCGCTATTTATTGTGTCTTTAACACGTTTTCTGATGACTGTTTCTTTGGTTTCTACGATTCTCCTGAATATTCTGAACGACTGATGCAAGCTTGCCATTTTCATCACACATATATCTCGACAGTATCCATAACATTGAACTGCCGAAGCTTCAGTAACATCTGCAAAGATTTCAGCCAGTGTTACTAGTGCTTTTATTATCCAGATCACTACAATTATCAAAATCTGTCTTAAAGTTAATCGAGATTGAGAGAAAAAACTCCCGTTTTAACATACTTAAATCATACTACAACATGTTAATCTACATAATGTCCAGCAGTCATTTGAACACTGAAATCACAAACAAAAAAACTTCCTTGAAATCCATTGTAAACTGGTTGTACATCAGCACTGAGTATTAAAATAGGCGCCGTGATCATGAACACGCTCACCCGCTTCCGATTGGTTCGCCCATAAATTATAGTCTCGCCAAAAAATCTTGTTTGCGGGAAGTTAAACATTGAAAGTTAGTTGGAAAAAGTACTAGAAAATGAAAGATATCATGATCGTATTAATGTTGTTCTTTTAAGAATGTTTCAGATAATAAGAAGGTGTAGCCTACTTCAAACTAACAATGCATCTTGAAATATCTGATGTATTCAACTGCAGCGTCTAAATGATTAAAGGCTATTTATGTTGACCGGTAAAGATATATGTTCGCTGAACTAAAAGAACTGATGTTTTTAGTTTTTCAAAAAAGAAAATGCAGAAATAGATATACATATTTTCACTCGAAGAAAACAGTTGTGAACAAGAAGTTGTTCCTCGTGAAGCATACCTTATGTTTTTAAAAAAATCAGAATTAGATCATTTTGAACGATTAATTTACTGAATGTGACAATTATTAATCAGGTAAAACCCTAAGAGTAATGGTTACTATTTTTGGAACACAATGGTTGTAAAATTCAATTCCCATGATACCGAAATAATAATAATAATCAGATATGTTCAAAACGTATGGTTGCTATACCACCTGTTCATCTTTCATATTTGCTAATCTACAGTGATTTTATTTATTGTACATTTTCACAATGGTATGACAGATAACCTTAAATGAAGATAAGTAAAGGGTTTCAAGATCATTAACTCAGTGGATTACAAATTTGAACCGACTTTTAAACAAAGCCATCAACTTTCAGTTTTCTTGATAACATCCGTTGGTAAATTTGCTCAATTAGTGTTTCATTCAACTAGATTGTACTTTAAGAAATATTTCTAGTATAATAGAATGACTTGTTATTTACCTAATTTTCTGTTATTATTGTTATCATTATCATCACTATCAAATTTGCTCCACATTTTTATCATTTTGACCTAGATCACATAATTGCATTTGTTAATATGAAAATTCTCCCAGGTCTTATCTTTTTGGTTATCAATATTGCTGGGGGGAGGCAGGAGTTGTCTCTCTTGACTATATCAACGAAAACCTAGCTTATATAATGTTTTACAAAACTATGTTAACTAATGAAGATGTTACAGGATGAATGATTTGTTTTTCCTAAACTCTGATACTCTCTAAAACAGAGGTGAACAGATAAAACATCAATTAAATAATCTAAAAACAATCTATTTTGATTATATTAATTAATGGTTTATAATATACTTCATATCTGTATACTTTTTTCCACAGAAACATATATATTATTATTATTATTAATGGCTTTATTCAATATTATATTTTGGTACAACATAGAAATTCTCAGCACAGGGCATTTCAACAAGTTACTTACGCAAAAAGAACAGTAACAAATACAAAAAAGGTTTAAAAAAACCGAAAAACTGTACAACTTTTCAAATTAGAAACATGTTAAGAATGCAGGTTATTGACTAGGTTAACTCTAACAACCTGTTCGTCACAGAGTATATTTGCTAGGTAAGGTATTATAGAACTTTTATACTTTTGCTTGAGTGCATGGATTTTAATGTAATTACGTCTCGTTCTACCAGAAGATCTATAAGGAGAAATATAAGAGTGAATGGGATAGTTAGTATCTGATAAAATAACGCCTGCCAGGAGTTTGCACGACTTTAGATGTCTATCCACAACCATATTAATTATGACATCGAAAGATTCACCACACACATTGCTAACTGCCTTCAGCACTCTCCGCAATACAGCAAAGTCTTTTCTCAAAAGCCCGGGAAAGAATAATGGAGAACAGTAAAGAATAATAGGTAATATACAAGAATTGGCAAATTGTAAGAGTAAATGACGAGTAATCCCAAGAGCATGCAATCTCTTTATGTAGTAAGTCAGACGGAAAACCTTCTTCGATGACAATAAAACGTGAGAAGACCAAGAGAGACCAGAAGAAAGGGTAATGTCAAGGTAATTGACCTTCGACATTGTGTTTATCAAAGAGCCTCCAATGGTACAAGCATTATGGGATCTCAAAATGGTGCTTAGATTCCGTTCATGTCTCATGCTAAAGTTAACAGCTTGACATTTAGATGGATTAAGTATGAGACCATTACCAACAGACCAACAGTCAATACGAGAAAAAAACTCATTCATTTCTATGGGATGTGAAGAGGAAGAGATAAGCATACATACAGTGAGATCATCCGCATATTTCACAAAAGTGTTTTCTGTGGAAGATGGCAGATCATACATAAAAAAAGGGAAAAGAAGAAGTGAAAGAACAGCTCTTTGTGGGACACCTTTATGAGACAGTAGAGACTCTGAACACTTTCCTCCAAACACAGTGTACTGTTCCCTTCCAGAGAGGTAGGAACATAGCCAGTTGGTTATCCAGCTGTCAGTGTTGACGTTGATTAACTTGTTAATTAAACGTTGTCTTGGTATAGAATCAAAAGCCGAAGTATAGTCCAGAAAAGCACATCGAACATACTTCTTACTCTATTCTAAGTTGAACACTATGTTGTGATGCGGAACAGCAACAGCATCTAAAGTGCTTCTTTTGTGAAGAGATCAAACTAGGGGTTGTTACTATGTTCAATGAAAGTAAATAACTCGACACTACTTTTTTGACTGAAAGAAAATATAACGTCATATTATTATATTTCTGAGATTTAGTCAAACTTCTTAAGACTTTTTGAAATTAAATAATTCCAACGTTTTGTTCAGCTCACCTTTCTGAACTTCTTCAGGGTAATAATGAAAATAAAAATCATCAAAGAAATATATGGCTTTTAACAATCAAATCTATACTGTGTCAATCTTACACATACAACCATACACACACGCATTCAATTCGTTTTCAGTTATTTATTTCTACGTCGTGAACTTTTCACATGATCATCATGTAACTAACTCATGTTATCCTATTTTACAAAAATCAACATTCAAATATGATTGGATTGACACAATATCGATTTGATTGTTAAAAGCTATATATTTCTTTGATGATTTTGATTTTGATTATTCTACCCTGAAGAAGTTCAGAAAAGTTAACCGGATGAAACGTTGAAATTATTTAAACTTCAATTGCTGAGATTATTTTAAATATAAATTTCACATAAAAATGTCTTCTCTATACTCGGCGCCCAATTTCTATCAAACTATTCGTTCTAATCTTGACGAATATTCATATATTCTTAAGACTTTATTCGTGTTAAATGATCATAATCAACGATACTGGCTGTAAATAATAGACATGACGAAAGATTATATATATATATATATATATATATATATACATAAATCAGTAATTTTCCCAGTACAATCCATTTATTGAAACATGTTTTATTTCAGTAGAGATAGTATGAAACACTAAAGGTAACAATACTGATAAGTAGAAGTGAGATAAGAAAACTTTCATTAATTCTCTCTAAGAAAACTGATTTAGATTAGATCTTTTGATAGTAAATGGTACAATAAAAGAAAAATGATAAGGAATTTGTTTTCTTTCTTAGCTATGCTAAACAACCAGAAAATTTTAACAATCCAAAAGCTATTAATCAAATATAATGTATTCTTGCTTATATGAAAATCATATGATTTGTTGGTAATGTTTTTTTTACAAATCTTTGCTTTTATTTTATAACAAAAACATTCCCTATGTACTTTAACATTATTGGAGCAGAGAAGATCAATAAAATCGTAGATCAATTTGGTATAAAAATAATTCAGTTGAAGATTTAGTTAGTAACTGTTGTGTCCCGATAAGGATAATGAATGGTAACTTTTGGGATCTGTTGATGAACCAATACTAAACGTATATTTCCATTGTATAATTATTACGTAACTAAACTATACATATTCTTATTCCTCTTATTATAAGCTTTATTTTGACCCATAGACCAATATTATATGTTTACCATTCTTGAGTTATAACCAGTATATTAATTACTACCTCCCTTATTCACATCCACATCTGGCTAATTCTTGTACAAATTTTGTTTCATATTTTATTGGTACGTTGTGGTCTGTTTGATTGGTATATAAACTCAGCATGTTTGAAATATGATTCATATTACAGGGGCTGAGACTGGTGTTCTGGACGTAACTAGCTGGGCTAGACGGAAAGCAGGATCAATCAGAACTTTAGGTTGGTCGCACGTGATTCATGCGTCCTTGGTTCGATCGATAATTCACTGCCCTCTAATCGGCGGTCACAAGTTATAACAGTAACTGACCACTAAACCCATATTCGAATTTTTCTATTATAGAAATACTTTATTTAACTGAACACAATCTGAATTTTAGTTTGATAACTTATTTATGTAAAGCAGATTCTTCTGTTTGAAATTAGTAATTGTGAGGATATTGTGAATAATGATTTTTTTTTGATCAAATCAGTCATCTGTATTGGAGATCTCAATAGATAATATGGCAGTCATAATCGGTTAATCCTTCAGTAGTGATAAATATTATGTATCTCAAGCCCATATTTGTACTGATCGAATTCTATTGATTAGGTTACAATGTGGTCACTAAGTTAGATGACTCTACATCACATGCACTATACTGAGATATAAAATGGTGGTTTGTAACGTTTCTGATTGTGAAACTATGTAAAACGAAACCGAACTTCACAGGAATTATAACTTTCTTCATGAAAACAGATACACCTTGCTTAAGAGTGCTTAATATCAGGAAACTAATGTTTCTCCAGAGGATTTAGAAACCTATGTTACTTAAATAACTTAAGAAGGATGAGAAGATTATTGTTCATCATGGTCACGTACCACATGCACAATGATGGACCGCTAATGACTAAATGTTTCATCGAGTGTAGTCGGTTTCTGATATTCATGGTTCATTTTTATTAAGATGTAGATTTTCAAGAAAAATACTTTTCTAATTATTAAAAAATGTAAGAGAAAAACTGTTCTACTGTTCTCTTTTCGACTCGTTTGTGAATACGTTTTAGAAGAGACTATTTATTTATTGATCATCGGCTAATGTGAACTATTTGAATTTACTACATAATTCATGAGAAATGTTTTATGTTCTTCAGTTCGACTTTTTACGAAATATGAGTCTGAAAGTTTCTGATTAGATTACAGTTTCTGTTTGTATAGGGAAACCAGCAGAGAATGCATCAGTCGTAAAAATAATATAAATTTGCGTTATATTTTTAGTTCTTCCATCCTTTAAATCCAATAATATGATGGGCAAGAATTAAAAGTTATCTCTTATTTTACCTCCATTATACAAAAACACGTAAATTTCGATCACATACTCACACTTACTTAATTACCTACGCCTGTTACCCCTCGTGAAGGAGCATAGGCCGCTCACCAGCATTCTCCATCCAACTCTGTCCTGGCCAATCCTTTCCAGCTCTTTCCAGTTGTTGTTCATCCTTTTCATATCAGCTTCTATTTCCCGACGTAATGTGTTCTTTGACTTTCCTCTTTTCCACTTTCCTTCACGATTCTAAGTTAGGGCTTGCCTAGTGATGCACTTTGATGATTTGCGTAATGTATATCCTATCCATTTCCATCGTCTTTTCCTAATTCCTTCTTCAGCTGGAACCTGGTTTGTTCTCTCCCACAGAAGGCTGTTTTTGATGGTACCCGGTCAATGGATAATGAGTATCTTGCGTGGACAACCATTTATAAATACTTGTACCTTCTTGATGGTGGTTGATGCAGTTCTCCAAGTTTCAGGTTCATACAGTAGAACTGTCTGAACGTTCATATTGAGGATTCTGACCTTGATATTGCTTAAAAGTTGTTTCGAGTTCCATATATTCTTCAATTGTAGGAATGCGGCCCTTGCTTTGCCAATCCTCGCCTTTACGTCTGCATCTGATCCTCCCTGTTCATCCATGATGCTTCACAGATACTTGCAAAAAAAACTTCAACCACATACAGTTTATCAGATATTTATTAATACATAAAGAAATGTAAGGATTATCAAATATGATCATGTAATTTTTAACTGATAAAATTCCGGTTTGATTACATTCACTGATATGTTTATCCTTAACAGGTAATTAAGTAAATTTCATTGATGCTATCTTATACAAAAATACACTTTCTTAGACAGATTTTGATTTTAAAAAATTATAATTTTAAAATTTGTGAAACCAAAGACAGTTAAATTCATCTAATATACATTAAATTTACTTTCCAGGAAGTCAACGAATGAACTTCAATTTAATGAATTTATGTATATTAGTATTGATGTCAATCGGTCAGCTACAGCGTAGGACCAGGCACATACATGGATCGGTCCAAGTTGCCATACCTCATTAGCACAACAAGGTGAACACCGGATTCATAGGGGTAGTTAATTCAATGGTGGTAATATGTAAAAGAAAGATTGCATATAATGATATCGTACAGGAAGAAAGAATCAGTAAGTAGAAAGATATGAAGTGGTTTTAATCTCATAGTTTAAGGGAAGACGCCGTTGTGATCGATTCTGAGCCACGTCACCAATAGCCTCCAAATATTGGTTATGATAGTCACGTAGACCCCAACCAAGTAGTCTGCATCTACTGACATGGCTCAGACCAGAATTTAATGACTTCAAGCACTGATGCCACTTTTGGTTTGGCTGCCCTTAACTTTCTTCCGACCATCTTCTACACCAGTTAGCATTGCGCGTCCTGGTAATCGGTGTTCAGGCATACATAACACGTGGCCCAACCATCTCAGTATTGATATATTCACAATGTAATCTAATACTAATAATGGTATGATATAATCATTTAATTTATTTTAGACAAGATGATAACTCGATACCAATTAAGATTTAGTTTAGGATAAGTTTTGTTGAGTTGTTTATTTTAAGGCTTTTAAAAGTTCGATTTTTTTTTCAATTTTAATAAACTAGTTTGACGAGACTGT